AGCCTCTGCCGTCGCTCCCAGCTGTCTGCCGCGGGCCTAAAGAAACGCAAATCACTGCAGGAACTGTCAGAGAATCACAGAGCGGTTTGGGTTGGAAGGAAACTTAAAGATCATCTAGACCCACCCCCCGTGCCATGGGCAGGGACACCTTCCACTAGACCAGGTTGCTGAAAGCCCCGTCCAACCTGGCCTTGAGCACTGCCAGGGATGGGACATCCCAGCTGTCTGCCGCGGGCCTAAAGAAACGCAAATCACTGCAGGAACTGTCAGAGAATCACAGAGCGGTTTGGGTTGGAAGGAAACTTAAAGATCATCTAGACCCACCCCCCGTGCCATGGGCAGGGACACCTTCCACTAGACCAGGTTGCTGAAAGCCCCGTCCAACCTGGCCTTGAGCACTGCCAGGGATGGGACATCCTGTAACACTGAACAGGGCTTATTAGGAAAGAGGGAAAGCTGTTGAGAGCCCATTCCCCAGGGCAAAGCAGGACTATCGGCAGTGTAGAGCAGCAGGAGGGCTAGAAGGCTGGAGCGGGGTGAGTGGATTCTTCCCAGGTGGAGGGTGCTGAAGGTGACAAGGCAGACGAGAGCTCCTTCAACTTGTCGCCCTGGCAAACTGTCAACAGTGTACTTATGCAAAAGCAAGTGCACACTGTGTGGCCAGCCCTCTTCTCTCCAGGCTCATGAAACCCCTTACGTACCCAAACTTATACTAACACTAAGGACTAGGAGGAAGGAAGAGGAGTCAGAAATTACATTTGGGCTGGAAAACCTGAGTGCTAATGGTGTTAAACCATGTTGAGTGTTAAGTCATGTTAGATGTCCATGAGCGTATTGGCAATACATGTTTTGAGATGTTAAATGAACATGAGATCAGCTTTGCTTGGCTGGGAGTTGCCCAAACCAGAAGTGGTCAAACTGCATTTACCTGAATTGACCCAGTGTGACACCACAGAGTGGACGTGGCAGGATGGGACATGTGTCTCGGAGACTTTGGTGCAGGGACATTAACCAAATTGGCTGTTGGGTGGTGCTGCCATGTGAATGTGCACTCTGCCACATTGTGCTCCAGACCTTTCCCCTTTTGTTTGGAGTCTCTATATGTAACTCTTATGGAAATTCAAGTTTACTGAGAGCTTTGGGATGAAGGGTGGCTTGTAAAGTATTATTATTATGTTGCTTATGGGTGGGTAGAGAAAGCCTATAGAATACATCCTTTCATTTGCATTCATAATATGCTACAATTTATAAGAGTACATTTGACTTTTAAGCTTTTCCATGGTAGAAAATTCAACTCCTGCTGTCAGCACTGTTTGCTTTGGGCAGGATACAACTTGGCAGCATTTATTTTCCTTTCTACCAAACAAAATAGTATGTATCTTTCCAGGAGAAGAAAAGTGTTGTGGTTATTCATTTGGGACTGCAGATTGACTTGCCCACAAAGCATACTTTGAGGCTCTGCATCTCAGGAAAAGCCTTCAATAACAACACTTGTAGCAAAAAAAACCCCAAACAAAACCATTTGTATTTGCCAAGGCACAGTGTGATAAATAGGGAAATCTCTCTGTTTGTAACTCAAGACTTGAACTGCCTGACTTTGCTGTACCTTTTATGACTGTCTTTTACTATGTCCTGAGTCAGCATCCTTGTGTTAAGGAAATAGTGTGAGACGCCAATGTTTTTATCAAGGAGTTACATGTATTCGCAGCTTCATTTGTTTTGGATGACCAGCAGTGCAACATATCTTACTTGGGAGAACAAAAATCTTATATATATTAGCCTTTTTTGTTTTTTTCTGTAATCCCTGCACAGATGGAGGAGTTTGGCTGCAAGCAAATGAAAAGACAGTATGAAAAACTGCATCCAGTTTTTCAAGGCTGGGTCTCAAAAAACCCAAGTTGTTGGAATAATTTTACTGAAATTGTGTATATTATATATTATATATATAAGTATATATATAAT